AGACTGGTGTGCTACGCTTTTACATTCCATTTTACATTTCCAATTGTTTAAACCTTCACCACAGAAAGACACGCAAAGCATGATGTGGCCAGTAACGGCTTGCAATTTGAAACCTTAGTATTCTGTGCTGTGCATTCATTATATACCCAAACAAACTGTGTTCACACTCAATGACACAGTGGAAGTAGAAAAAGAATAAAACGGCCCAAACTGCATGAATGACTCAGCACAGGCTGATTCAGGACACGATTTTGTCTGCCTCCTTTTTGATTGTGAGCAACTCAGTTAATATATTAATGAAACACCATATTAAAAAGCACATTGTGAGAAAATTACACTACATCAGCTCAGGCAAAAAAAAAACAACACTTTGGTTTTAACTGACTTGGACAATCTGAAGTTGCACTAGTATTGCTATGGAAATCCAGTGTATCTATGTCCAAATATGTGATTTGTTACCAACTTTTAATGTATATGGGTTAATCAATAGTGAAAATAATCATTAGCTTTAGCTCTAGTATAATTTAATATATCCCAGAAACTATCACATTTATTTTAAGTATTATTTTGTGTCATTTCTTAGCTTTTTCTTTTAGATGGCTAAGTAGGAACTTCCAACCTCTAGAGACACACCATACCCATTACTAATAGTTTTACACACATATGTCTTACAATGCACAATCAATGCTATACAAATGATTAAACGTTACTATATCCATGTTGTTTGAAACGCAGATGTTTACACAAAATCAAAGCAGCAATCTCTACAGCTGAGTGTACCAAGGGAGTGCATAGCTCCATCCCCAAAGTATCAATAATATCGATATCACAAAGTCTTGTCTTAGAATCAGTAGGATCAATAGGATCAATAAACTAAACAGAACTCTCACATGCTGGAACACATCCTGGGCATATGAACACTTTACTTAGTTCTGCACTAGAGGAAAGCCTGCCGCTGTGAGCCTTCACTCACTCATATCTGTTATTTACCACTAAAAAACTCTTCATTGTGTTTAGGCATGAATGGGATTACCAGAGAACAGTAAAGACAGACGTGTGGCAAATCACTCTGAGGTAATTAAAATATATTCAGAAGTAGCCGGTTAGTAGTTTACAGCCCTTTAAAAAGTAATAGACTCCAGAGCTGGTCCACCCTGTGACATCTTTCGTTCCCTTACAGAATAATATACTAGCTGCTTTTGATATAAAAATATGGTATCGATAGCTAGCCCTGCTATTATTTTATGGTATCGATTACCACCGACAGTAGATACCGTTATATGGAGCTAATATGGGGCTAATATGGGTTAGCCACATGTGTAAAGCTAACTTTGCTGAGAAAATATACATGTAGCGATCAATGTACAGACCAGCACACGTGATTTATAGACAAAATGATGATTTGGTGTGGAACGAGTCAGCATTACACTGTTAACCAGTCAGTTAAAAGGCTAACTCTCTAATGCTAACGCCAACAAAGTAAAAGCTAAGTAGTTAGTCCTTCCATAACCCCAAACTAGCTTGAATGATACAGCTGCTATGTGTTATGGTTAATACCGGAGGCCGGTTAGAATCGAACCATGTGTTAATACTAATATTAAATGAAACATAACTACCAGCTAGGTTATCACCTAGCAGGTAATGTTCGATATGTGTATTACAGATGAACTCCGGTGAAAATTGTCACGCTAGCAGCTAGCCGGTTGCTACAGCTAGCCTAGTTTAGCCGATTAGCATTTATTGTAAATCCGACGGAGAAAGAACCTTAATCTGTCATTCGCGGGACCAAAGCTTAACATTATGACACTTTACTGCTAAAACACGCTGCTAACTCGTTAGCTGTGTTACTGTTGATGACATATTCAATAATTAAAGTCACGTTAAGTAAGTGAATGTGCAGACTGTGTGTAAGTTACCATTAACCAGTGCAGTCATTTAATGCAACTCTTTCTCATTAAAAAGCTAATTAACCCTTCTGCTGCTAAAACTCAAGCTAATGTTAGCAAGCGCTAGCAACGCCTAAAAAAGACCGGTGTGTACCGTTATCCACGTCCTGATCCACCCTACTAAAAACTAGCTGACTACCGGACCACAAAATCTAGCAATGAACACAACAGAGATATTAAACTCTCCGGGAAGTGAAAACGCCAGTCTAAATGCAACGAAAGACGTTTTTAAAGACACTTCAGACTCACTATTCCTTGATGAGCACCATCTTCGTCACACGCTGCAGCTGCGCACTGGGAGGCGACACCACACAGAGGGATCAACAATTTTGTCCCGCCCCCTCTGTATCTGATTGGCTGAAAAACCCACACCACCGTGTCCCTGTGGGCTGTAGTATACAATTTACCTACATACAGTGGTGGAATTAACCAAGTACATTTATTATTTATGCTAAATAAAGTTAAGCTTTGCAAAGATCTTGGTAGAAACCATGAACCTGAATAAATCCTGTGTATGTCCAATTTTGTATTAGGCTGCTTGGATCTGGGGATTTTCTAGCCAAAAAAAGTGATAAATAGAGCATGCATAAAACTGTCAGTAAATATCTACAGAGTACCTCTTCTACCTCTGCCAACACTGCAAGTATAGTCCTACAATCCTATGACACGCATACATACAATGAGGAAGTTACAGAACACCAACAGACATAGGTTGTCTCAGTATAATCTACTGTACAGGTTGGCTATAATAAGAATACAGAGTGATGGAGCTGGTATTTTACTTAACTAAAAGTTAACAACAAGTACAGTACTTGAGTAAATACATTTAGTGGATTAGTGAGTTTTTGTTAGAACAGGATAGGATGAACATTACTACTTATAACAAGTAATCTAAGATTTATTTTTTCATGTTTATTACAAGGAAACATGTCTGAAGAACTGTTGGCTTCATTATGGCCATCAAAGCAAGAGAAGGAAAAACATTTTTATTTGGCAAGTTCTTGAGAACTGTGATGTCTCTGAACAAAAGTCTGGCACCGCTGCTAAATTGTACAATAGGAAACACTCAACAGCAAAAGGTACCATGCTGACAGTCACACATGAAATCAAATCTCCATAAAAGTATCAAAAAGTTTACTTTAATCTTGACTTCTTCCTGGTTTTGTCCTTATAAAATGTTTAATAAAGACTGTAACACAGTTTACTTTACAAAATAAATGACAACAGTAAGCACTGATAATGACATTTAACACTAATTAATACATGATAAATCAAGCTCAAATTCAGGTTAACTTACACAAATACAGTGAGTGTTAAATCTGACAAACTGTTCTCCTTTTCTCAGTCAGTTTATTTTCAGTGCATTGTGAGGCACTGAGACACGTGCACTCTACTCAGGCATGAAAACACAATAAAAGTCGGTCTTTCTTTCTAGCTTTCTCCAGAAAAAGGCACAGTCATCACATTTAAAACATTAACTTCACAAAAAGGTAATGACGTGTAAAATCACAGTCAGTAATGAAACAGTACTTTTTAAATTCTTTCTCTTCAGCGGGTATTGCTAAAAATGTGGTTGTGTTTTGCTGACAGCTTCTGTCATTGTGCAAATGCAGAAAAAGAAACAGAAGACGGCCTAATAGCTCCGGGCCTGGAGTGGCAAATATTAAAAATCTCAACATTTAGAAGATGGGAAAAAATGTCCTGGTGAGAGGAACTTGTAGCCATTCCCAGAGCGAAGTCTGATGCTTCCTTTAGAGTTTGTGGGACGATTAGAAAATGGAGGTGATGGTGGTTTCGCCTCCAGGTTTGGGTGACCGTTTGGTCTGTTGTCAGTGTTGTGATCCTCAGCTTCATTGACATTTTTACTGACAGACTCAGGTCTAGGTGAGAGATTCAGCAAACCCAAAACATCTTTCTGGACTGTACTCATCTTTTTGTTTCCACCTCGAAGTAAACTGGCAGGACAGGGCTCCTCATGCTTCTGGCCAGCACTGGCCCAGAAGGTTTTTAAGTTATGAACTGCCTGAACTTTGTTCTGTTGGGACTGGTTTAGTTTGGGGGTGTTGGCAGGGCTGGACGAGGCCGAAATGGATCCTGTTGAGGAATAGGAAAGAGCTGGCGATGGGGAAGGTGAGATGTGGGCGGTGTACAGAGAGGTAGGGTATTTCAGTTTCACATCTGGGGAGGGTGAAGCCTGCCCTTTCACAGAGAGACGTAAAGAGGGAGAGGAATGAGCTGGGCTGCTGTAGCCTGAGCTGATTTTCTGCAGCGAGGACGAGCGGGATGGTGGTTTAGGCCGAGCTGGAAGAGGTGTTGAGACAGAGGTGGAGAGGGGTGAAAGATGAGCAGAGAGCGACAGAGGAGACGAAGAGGCTTTTAGACTTGCTCTACTGGGTGGTCTGCTAAACGCACTGGTCTCAGAGGGCTGAAACACTCGTGTTCCTCCTGCTGGAGTCAGAGTTGGACTGATGGTAGCAGAAAGCGATGACTGTCTGTCATGAGTCTCTTCTCTCCCCTCAGGCGCCCTCAGTGTCTTTACCTTCTGCAGGCTCTCCACAGCTTCCCTGTGGCTCTGGGTCTCCTCCAGGATCTTCTGGACCAGTGCCTGGGGATCCAGTTGTCCAGCAGGCCCCGTCCTCTCTTCCTGAGACTTGACTGTGCTGTCTGTCTCAGTACTCGACTGGTCTGACTCAGAGCTGCTAACCTTCCCTTTCTCAGTCCTCTGAGGAGATGAGCTGAAAATAATGGTTAAAAAGGTATACAGAAATTAACCCAAGAACAAGAGTTATAAATAAGGTGACTTCCTCCTCACTAAGTGAACTTACGTTTCCTGCTTGAGCTTGGTGCTGGTTGCCACTGTGAGGGCCAGTGGCGGAGCTTTAATTGGAGATGTAGGTGTGCTGATGCTTCCCTTGGAGGAAACTGTTAGAGGATACCCATGACCCCCAGCAGATCCTCTCCCAGCACCACCTCTGCCATGTCTGTGTCCTGCAGGTAGCGGCAGTGTGTCACAGTCCCTCCCCCTTCGACCTAATGGCTCACTGCTTATAATGGAGTACCCCTCATACTCCTTGTCCTCCCCTTCTCCTGCTGGTCCTCATCCATGATTGGCCAGCTGACCCTTTGAATGGCAGTGCGAGGCGTAGCGGCCTGCTCCTCCACGAGGTCTCTCTGGCTCCTGTTGATGTGAGCACTGGCTGATGATGTCACTTCCTGCTGGCTCTGGTCAGGACAGGAAACAGAGAGAGGAGGCAAGGGAGCTGAAGCTGTAGACGGAGATGGCGTCGCAGGAGAGGTTGTCTGGGCAGACTGGGGGGAAGAAGGAGGGCTGAGGAGGGTAGCACCCAAAGGAGAGGGGGAGAGAGTGCGGCTGGGAGGTGGACTGGGAGGAGGACAGAGACTCCAGAGAGGACGAACTGTCCATGCTTAGTCGCTTGGGAAGCTCTGTGGAGTCTGAAACATGCAATGAAATGATTTCAAGTTATGTGGCTGGAATTAAGAACAAGATTCAGTAGAATTTAGCTCTGAAGAAAGTCCAACGTAGAATGAGCAGCATTAATCTCACCAAACAGTGCTAGAAGAGACTGAAGGGCAAAATGCACGGTGCGTCTGCTGGCCTGTTTTCCAGTCTTCAACACGACCTCCTCCTGACCCACCTCACAGAGATCAAACCCTAACACACACAGAGGAGAAGGTCACGAAGTTCATGTACTCATGTACTTGAGTGCAGGTTTTAAATGTTACATTATCTGTCTATTCCAGAACATTTCAGAGAAAATTGATGTGGTTTTTACATTTATTTAATGGCTAAATAATTAAATACTGTGGAGATTAAGATTTTACACACACCAAACACAATCTTACAAAACAAGATGGGCAACAGCACAAGAAGTAGGTCACATCAGCAGCACGTTGACCAGCTGCAGCACTACAATACTCAGGACCACTTTTTAGTTTTGGGCCCAGTTATACAGGGTTTAACAGTGATTAAGTTGCTGATAAATTCATTTTGATCCAGATGCTCTGCAGCTATGTAGCCAAACTGTCCATCGTAGAAGTCCTGATGAAATAAAAAGCTAGAAAGCCAAAGAGTAATGTTGCCTGTTGGAGGCGTGTGTTCACCACAGAAATCAGAACTGTATGCACAAACAGAAAGAATTGGTGAAAACATGAAGGAAATACTGAGTTAAATGTACGTAGATGGGTGGGTGTGTATATATATATATATGTATATCCAAATATACATACTCATACAGATCTGTAACTAAAAGTACAGTACATCTCTTTTGTCTTTCTTGATGCATTAATGTAGACTCTTAGTTAACTTCAGTTTTCTTTTACCATCACTACAATTACTTTCTCTTTGTGATTAGAGTTTAGAGTTGTGAAAACATGATGAACTGCAGTTATGAGCCTAGTAATTGTTAACTGATGAACTTAGTTAATGACAATAAAATGTGAAAACTGAAAATGAAACTCAGTTTCTTCTAACGGTGACTCACCGAGCGCTGCCAGGAACTCGTGGCAGCCTGGAAGCCTCCACAGCTGCACACTTATCGACACTTGAATGGGAGCCAGTGAAAAGTCCTGCTCTTTGTCACCTGACTGCAACTGGACCAGCACTTGGTGAAGCTGTCAAGGAAAGAAGATTGAAGGAGGAGGAGAAGTAAATGCTAATATACACATGTGAAAACTAGCAGAGCACAAACCAAGTCTGAAAGAATAATTCTCCTTATGGAAAGACTGATGTAGCAGCCACATCTGTCAGACCTTTCATTAGATTTATATACAGCAACCTCTTTGCGTGCCTGCTTTGCCCAGTCTGGTACTTTGTTGGTACTGAAACACTCACCACGCTTTTAACTGCCTTCAAGTGGTGGGTATACGAGGAGAGGAAACAACTTTGGTGTTTTCTTTTTCCCTGTGTAAATGTTGGGTTTCAGGCACTGCACACTCAGGCATGCTTGGATGCTTGGATGAAGACCTGCTCATGGTACTGGATGATGGCCATGCTTGAATGAAGACCTGCTCATGGTACTGGATGACCGCTCAAGGCCCACACAAGTGAAATTACTCACCATTTCACCAAAAAGCTGCTTTTTGTGGAGCAGAACCTTGTTCTTCTGTCCTCTCCCATGAATCTAGTGACCCCTTTGAGGGGCCCGACTCTGATGTTGGGAACCACTGGACTAAACTAGCTAACTGTAAATACAGTAGTTGACACTAGTTCCACTTGGAGCAGCGCTAACAGTAAAATGCCACAACAATAATCTCATATACTACATAATAACATACCAGTTACAGGGGACCTTTACTACAGACCCAGTGTTCTTACTTTAAAGACACTTGTTGACAATACTAAAACACCATTTTGCCGCATACCTTTTAACACTAATGAACCATATGTACATTGTTGTGTCAGAGCATTTGCTTCTTCCACTACTGGCATGAAAAACAGTGCAACGTGGCCGCACCTTATGAATGAGCTGCTCTCCAGCCTCAGACGCTGGGACCAGTTTACAGAGCGCCTGCAGAGCGGGAAGAGGAAGACCTGAGGAAGCACAAAACGCTAATGAGCTCTTTGAGAAGAAATGTTGCATCTTTTTGTAAAAGATATTTATTTTTTATGAATTATAATAATTATTTATACAACTGCTATGTTCTGCCTTTGAAGAGCCTGGCTGCCCCAGACCCTCTTTCACCTGGTCCTTGAATAGAATATGTTATGAGCATTATTTTATTGTTTTCATGTTTTAAAATGTTGCCTCCTCATATGTTTTGTCACTGTTTTTATCTGTTTTGTTGTTCAGTGCATTACTCTCAGATAGTTTTCAAACAGTTTTACTGCTCAGCCCTATTTTCAGCTTGTCACTCATCAGTAAAACACTTTGAATTGCATGAACAAAAGGCAGCATACAAATCAAACTTGACTGATTGACTGAAGCCAAGCTGTGGTACCAAGCAGAGACTGCAGGGTGGTGCTGCACTGCTGCAGCCGGTCCCCGGGATCTGACGTTGGGAAGAAAACCGCCGCAGGGAGACCAGCACCACTACCAGAGAAGTCCAAACGGAAACCCACTGCAGACAGGAGGGCCTGCCAGCCAGGCACCCCGCCGACCTTCCCCCGAGGACGGAAAACACACAGATGTGAGTAGAGGAGACACAGAGGCTGACGTGTAAAGATCTAGAAGGACACACGCAGACCTTATTCTCTACGCTTTGCTGCGATGTGTACATTGGATTACACTGGCCACTCTGGATGCGCTGCAAAGACTTCTCAACCTGTGGAGAGAACGAGTTCATGTTAAGTCATCACTGTGTGATGAAGCTGCCATTTTGAGCGCTGTGGGGATTTCATGGCTGGAACATCAGAAGAACCCAGCTCTGATGCAGTGCTGCTGCTAACGATGATGACTGAGCTCAGCATATCCAGCCTGAATTTGTACTGATACTTGAGAGCTGAGTTGATTTCCTCCCATCTGTACAAGCAACATTATATTTGAATAGTTTTTCACTAGATGCAAAGACAGTGATGTATGAAAACCATCAGAAGCTCAGGGACTGGTCTAGACTCATATAAAGGCTGACATTTTTAATAACTGGAAGCATAGAGCTGTCTCACCAAGTGTAACAGCACTCTGAGGGCATCCCTGGCCCTGGCAGGGTGCTGGAGGATCTCAGCCAGGGCTTGTCCAACCAGTGACACAGCGCTGTTCAGCTTCATGTCACTGCCAATCAGCATGTAGCCTAAAAAACACACCATGATATTAAAGATGATATCTTCAGTTTCTTTTTAAGTTGTTCGATAATATATTAAACCTGCAGCAACTGATTAACTTGGCCACTTGCTGTTGAGCGGGTAGTGAACAGGGGCTTTGTAGAGCATCTTCTCTGACAGCTGAAAGTCATGAGTGCTAGTTTCTGTCAGAGTTATAGTGCTTATGTTTGCGGTTGTGTGCTCACCAGCCCAGTTGGAGGGATGTGAGAAGTGTTTGCTGCTTTGCAGGGTCTTCATGGCTTCTGTCAGAGCTGCACTGGCTTTGGTGCCACTGAGAAGGGCAGTGTAGAATGTGTGTGCGAACAGTTTGGAGGCAGCCATCGGCACAGGCCACAGAGAAACACACACACACTGGACCCCTGCAGCCAGGAAGGCTCGGGTCAGACCCACCAGCCCATCAGCTGTCACCCTGCTGCTGGACTCTGGGTACAGCCTAAGGCAACACAGAGCCAGAGATTAGGTGGATCTGTCAAACCTAACAGACTCCTAGAAATGTGTGAAAGGTTTTACCTCAGAACTACCAGTTTAATGCTCAAGCACAGGCCCAGGATATCAGCAGCAGTGAGGAGGAAGTCTTGAAGCGCTGGACTGTCACACACGCTCTCCCCATCCTCACTTGTTTCATCTGCTCCTCTAAGTCTCTCTGGACTGCTGTGACTCTTTGAGAATGACCCCTTGACCTTTCTGCCCTGATCTGCTGTCTCGCCAGAGGTCGTCACCCCACACAACGATTTCTCCATGGGTCGGCCACCTGAGGCCTCTCCTCCAGCAGACTCCTGGCTGGGGGTGAGGACCAAAGCAGCGAGCTTCCAAGATATATGAGTTGCAAAGTGAACACACTCCGTCTGATTCAGAGCTGCTAAAACACGCTCCTTTGTGGCATTTGCTCCAGTTAGGGGATGACATCCCAGCTGTTCCCCCAGCCAGAGAGCTTCATCCTGGGCTGAAGGTAAGGGACCCCACAGCCAGCGGTCCATCACACTGGGGGGCAGGCGAGGAGGCCCAATCACTGCAGCCACTGAACCAGCATCTGAGCAAATTAGGGGGCCACCGCGGCGAGGATGAGGCTGTGAGGTGGTTAGAGCACTGGTCAGAGATTTATATGGAGCAAAAGCATTAAATCTCCAGGGGGAAAAATATGATATGAGAAGTCAGTGACCCAACAAGACGTCAACAATTTGCATATATTTTTACAAACGTAGGGGGACCACCTCAGTGTTTAAGACATAGATCTTATTATAAATATGATTTGTTTACCTTCACTGTGGCTCCCAGGCTGGCTAAAGAAGGCACGGAAATGAGACTGAACCTTTCATATAGGTACTCATTAGAGGAGCTGCCTTTGAGCAAGGCAAACGGGATCAGGTAGAGTTCCCCCTCCAGTACTAATACGAGCTGTCTGTGTCTGCCCACCGGTCCACTACTGTGCATCAGGCCCTGCAGAGAAAAGAAGACGAAGAGACTGAGTTAAAGAGGAGTCGAACAGGACATGTAAATGTGTGGATAAATGCACATACATACCCCTTCCATTGGCGCGATGAGCAAGTCATAAAGGGCTCGCAGAGGAGGTTTGTTGATGTTACTCGGTCGGGAAGGAGGAGAGGATAAGCTGTCCTTCGCTGGAGACACTGTGGCACTGTACAGGCTGGTCACGCTCTGACAGCTTCTGTAAGAGATATAAACACACACACTATTTAAATCAGTCAGTAACAAGACTACGGGTCTCAAGCCATGCTAGGCTGTTGACTGTTTGCTGAGGCTGATGGGAACATGATTAGTGTTGGTGGTATTTGATCCAAAGTACTGGACAAATTCAAATGTTGACCTGATGATGGAAAGTTAAGGAGTCAGAGGATTACAAGTTCATCCTGAGGAAACTCAAATCTGTGCACCAAATTTCATGGCAAATAACCCAATAGTTGTTGAGACACATCACTTAAAACCAGAAATGTACACGTCATACTGGACCTAGATGAAAAGTCACAGGATGACCAGGGTCATTAGGGTTCCTCGTCTGGGGACTAAGAATGTCTGTACAGAATCAAACGTAAAAACCTAAATCAGACCTGTTGAAGAGGTTGTTTCTGGAGACTGTGCACGAGTAGCCCGACCTGAGTTTGTCGTTCAGCTCCTCAAAATGTTGCTCTAATAGATCTCCTGCTTCGCTTTCTGTCTCACTGCTAGAGCAAACTCTGCAAAGTAGACAGAAGCACAAGCCAGTCACGAACCATGCACTCAACAAGGTACGTTTTATTATCACCCAGTGAGAAGAAATAGTGGCATTGTTATCACTTTTATTGGTAGTAACTTTATTTCTTATGTCCTTCACAGTTCATTCAGAAATAGATTTATCCATAAACTATGATCATATGTTCTTCACAAGATTGTTTTCTTCATTGTCGTTAGTCATTGTCTAACAGTAGCATTGTTACACTAGATGACCCCCCTTAGTCCTTAACATTAGCCACTTTTAGCTTCTTGTCAACCCAGACCAAGCAAACCAGTAGCAACAAAACATCTGGACTTAAGTCATTTAGTGCATTAAATTCCTGAATCAACTTGTTAATTCTGCTGGTGATGCTTTCAGCAAACCTTTCTATGTTAAGGAAAAAAGAAAACGTAGAAGGCAAGTACAAGTTAAGTCATCAGTTCCATGTTGAAATGCAAGTCTTTTTACAGACAGAAGGAACAGGCAGTCTCATGAACTGGACCAATAGCCCACAGATCTGGCCCTTTGCAGACACCCATGCTTTTTATGACTCCTCTGGCTGCAGTTTTCACACACTCAGGGAGATTTGATCTGCGTTAGAATAGCAGTTTTTGCTGCCTGGGTTACATGCTAGAAGGTAGTAAAACTCACAGTACTGGTGGTTTGGACAGCATTGTAATTCTGCATATGTGTAGATACTTTTCATACTGTGGATCACAGCATCACACATAAATGGAAGGAGGCCTCAGGCTTGCCACAGCTTTGACACAAACACACGCGACAGACGCTGCGAGTCACTGCTGGCTACAGCAAACCCACTGCAGTGGTTTCCACAGAAAGCTGAGACGCAGTTTGTGTGGAGGAACTTCTGCTGACATGACACATGGTAGTGATTTACAGTCAGGTCCAGTTGTGCCAAGAAAGGTCTAAGGTTGCAGGGTAACCAAGGACAGGAAAACATGGCAGGGGAGAGCGGGAGAAAAGGGAGACACATGACATCCAGTATGCACCTCCTCTCTCTTGCTTTGTTCACTCTGTGTTTTGACGACTGGATATGTACAGTTCAATAGTAAAACTTTGCAGCAATGGAGGTTTGAGCTAAATCCTATATATTAATATTTGATATTTAGCAGGCACAGTGTTTACCACGTTCATCATTCCAGTTACAATTCCTTATTAGCCCTCTGCACAGGGTAGGGCTGTAGACCTGAGGCCGTCTGATAAAGACTCACTGGCTTTCATGCAAGAACATTTTCTTGTCCTGAATTTGTCTCTGTAAGGTTCATATGAGTGTTTTAAGTCAGACTCACCAAACTCTCTTACCTGCACAAACTCTGCATAATGAATGTCCCTAAAATTTCTACACCATTTCTAAAGCAAAGCTCTCCATGACTAATATGTGAGGCAGTCAAAGGTGAAATACACAAAAGACGACATAGGAAGAGGAGGAGGAGGAGAAGGAGGAGAGAAGCACTACCTGCTGTGGTAGCTGTCCACTCCCAGAGCCTCTCTAGCATTGCAGATGTACTGCTCCAGAGACAGAGGCCCTCCACCTCCTCCTCTGCCCTGCGGGCTCCCAACGCCATCCTCAAACTCAGATACCTCCACTCCGGCCTCTCCGAGATACACTTCATTAAACTTCACGATACCTGTTACAGCATTGCAGCAAGAACAAGACTGAATTATTGCATTGAAAAAAGACAGGCCTCACATCCAGAACCCTGCCCCCCAGTGCAGCGGTGTGGCCAACTGGGGGGCAGGGTTTAATAGCTGGTGGGCAGCAGTGGAGGTCTACACTGCATCACTGACTGCATCCGTTTGGGTAGGAGGTTCAGGAATAAATTAAAACAGTGAGTGGCCACCCAACTATATAAAGTGTGTGTGTGTGTGTGTGTGTGTGTGTGTGCATACCTGTACCAGGAGATATCAGCCAGCTGTAGAGAAAGCCTCCAGCCAGAGAATAGTAGAGGACCGTGGCCCTCTGACCGTTGACCGTCTCCAGGATGTGCTCTACAGTCACTGGGATGTACGGGTCAGTGCTCGTTGCTTCTTGACTTCCTTTCTGGCGTTCAACCAGGAGATCAGCAAAGGCACGTGTTCGCCCTCGCTCAGCTATGGCCAGCGCCTCATCATGCCGGCCTGAGTGGTAACACAGAAGGTAAAGTAGTAATGGAGAGATCTGGGAGACCAGACAGACAGATGCAGCCAGACAGCAGGTGATCATTTGTGCACTGCTAACAAGCGCCCAGAGAAAGCAGACAGTAAAATGATGACAGCACATTATAAGCAAAGTGAGGCACAGTGATTCACACAATAAAATAACACAAGAGGAGAGCCAGTTAATTCACCTAGGCTGACGAGGACTCTCTGGAGAGCCTGGTACGAGCTGGTTTGCAGATCAAACAGAGAGAGCTTGTAATCCGTACTGTGCTGCGTCTCATGACGAATTGCCTCAAATAAAACAGAGGCTCTGTACAACTGAAACACACAGCAGACAAACAAACATCACAAGGAGATTCATATACGCCATCAAACTGTAGGACCCAGAGCTGAGTATGCACATATCCACCTGTGCTCCTTTGTCGGAGGAGGAAACCTCCTCCTTCCAAACCAGATCCCCTCACTGTGTCTGACCCACTGCGTCCGACCCCACTGTGTCCAACCCTTTGTGTCGTCCTCATGAAGTCATTCAGTGACCTAGAGCTGCAGCCATGAGTCAGTTCACTGGTAGAAAATGAACCTCAGCTATTTAGAAGCAACAGTCACCGACATGTTCTGGTTCCACCTTCTTTAATGTGAGGAGCTGATGCTTTTCTTTGTCAGACATGAGAATCAGCTGAGTCTCTGTGGGTCTGTTGGTTGGACACAAGTGGAGACGCCACCTTTGGCTCTGGAGAGTCACAGTGGGACTTTTTCCCCAGTGTCTGACATTCTGGGGATAAACAGATCAATCAGATCATCAGGACAATGATCAGATGATTGATCAGGGGACCTGCTGGTTGTGTTTCCAATCAGTCAGTCAGGAGTTTCCTTGAACATGCAGTTACATTAGTCACCACTGGGTGGCACTACATACACAGTAATCTGAATAATTGGGAGAACTGTTGAGGTCAATATCCTGCCTCTCATCTCTCCATCAAACTGACCTTTGTCAAAGTTGCTCAAGTTTTTACACCTGCTCATTTCTCCCGTATCCTACACACTAGACAAACTGACTATTCATATATCTCCTCGTTGGCCTTCCTCTTGGCCTCTTGCCTGGCAGCTCCATCTCCAAAATCCTTCTACCAATATAACCACTATCCCTCCTCTGCACATGTCCAAACCATCTCAATCTGGCCTCTCTGACCTTGTCCCCAAAAACAGCCGACCTGAGCTGTCCCTCTGATGTGCTCATTCCTAATCCTGGCCATCCGGGTCTCTCCTAAAGAGAACCTCAACATCTTCATCTCTGCTACCTCCATCTGTGCCTCTTTTCCTCACTGCTACAGTCTCTAACCCATACAGCATAGCTGGTCTCACTACTGTCTTGTACACCTTTCCTTTGATTCTTGTTGACACTTTTCTGTCACACAACACTCCTGACACCTTTCTCCACCCACTCCAACCTGCCTGCACTCACCTCTTCACCTCTTTCCTACACTCCCCATCACACTGGACTGTTGACCC